TACCAGAGATGGAAAACCCATGGAGAACTACAAGGGCATTGCCAGGGTGAGCAGATGCTGTGTGAAAAGCAAAAGCTGAGCTCAATTAAAATTGGCCAGAGAGGTCAAAAACAAAAGAAAGGGTTCTTTGGGTACATGAACAACAAACAGAAGGAAATATGGCCCACTGTTCAGCAGCAGAGGTGAGCTGGTCACCATAATGTTGAGAAGGCAGAGATTCCCAACACATTCTTCACCTCTGTCTTCACCTTGGGACACAGGTCCCGGAATCAAAAATCCAGGTTTATAGAAACACTGACAAAAACACTGAAACAACTGTTAGAGCTTGTCTGTGAGCTGTCACAGGAGCCTGACCCCTACAAACCTATGTGTCCTGATGTTACCCATCCAAGGGTTTTAACAGAGCTGTTTGATGTCGTTGCAAGGATGCTGTCCATAATCTTGGAGAAGTTGTTGATATCAGGGGATGTCCCAGAAGACTGGAAGAAGGCTAATGTCAGTCCATGTACAAGAAGTGCTTAAAGGGGAATCCAGGAAATTACAGGCCTGTAATTGGAGTTTTACTCCATTCCCTAGGAAAGTTGGGGAACAAATTCTCCTGGGGATTCTCACAAGTCAAATGAAGCACATGATTGGGAAAAGCCAGCAGGGATTCACTAAAGGCAAGTCATGCTTGACAAACCTGATCACCTGACAACACAATGACCTGCTCAGTTGATGTGGGGTGAGCAATGAACATGGCTTTCAGTATATTTTCCCAGAGAGACTTGTCCTAAACTGCTGGATGCTTTAGGGTCTAGACAACTGGTCCATGCAGTGGATGGGGAACTGGCTAGCCAGACACAGCCAGAGGATGGTGGTAAATAGCTCCTTTGCAAACTGGCAGCCTGTGACAAGTGGGGTCCTCCAGGGACCAATATTGAGCCCACATCTGTTTAATATCTTTATAAGTGATCTGGATGGGATCAAGTATATCCTGATGAAGTTTGCTGATAATACCAAGGGGTAAGTGGACACTTTGGGAGGGAGAGCCACCCTGCAGGAAGACCTGGATAGGCTGGAAGAGTGGGCTGCCAAGAACTTCATGAAGTTCCACAAGGACAAGAATTTGCACCTGGGAAATACAATTCAGGAGTGCAGCACAGTTGTCAGCCAGAGGGCCCTGAGGGTCCTGGTAGACAGCAAGCTCAGTACGAGTGACCAGGGTGCTGCTGCTGCAGAAAAGAAAGCCAAGAAAGGCTGGACCAGGGTCCTTTCAACCTGGTTCTATGTGATACTAGGATCAAACAGATCTTACAGCCTATCTACAGGAAGTAATTAGTCAGCCCTACATAACTGGATGTCATTCACTGTGGATGGCTGGTCTGCTTTCTAAAGAACATACCTGAAATTATTGATCCTTATTAGAAATGTGTTTCAATAAATGCCTTAAAATTAGCTGTAACAGAATGAAAAATTTTCAGCCAGAAAAAAATACGCATAGGAAAAAAATTTAGCACCCAAAATGGCAATGCATTTCAAATGTTTCTGTTAAAACACTAAAAAAGATCAACACAAAAGTTTAATGATGTAGTCTCAAGCTTGCAGACACAGGAAGCATGCTACCATAAAATCAGGGGAAATAGATTAGCAATCTAGAGACCAGATGGTTAGTATTTACTTGCTGACATAACACCACCAAATGTTCCTAAATTTCTTTTTTAAATTTGTCTTTCACATTACATTATCAGCATAGGAACTGATCTTGCAAACATATACATAAAGATTTCAACATATTTATTCATTTGTGTAGTCCCATTGACTTTAGAACAGGAGACTGTTCACAGAACCAGGCTGTCACCTTGGGGTAAGTCTACAGAGTTGTAAACTATTTACCTACAACAATTTGGGCAGGCTAAGTGTCTGAAAAAAAAATATCCTGTATGCATCTTTTTATTCTGTTTTTGGTTTTTTTCTTTGCAAGAGAGAGCACTTTATGGAGAGTATGATAAAAGACATTCCCCATCCATAAATTTATCTCCTGGTCTGGTGGATAACTGTTAAACTTGGCAGGGCCTGAAATAAACAGAAGTCTTAAAATGCTTCTCCAGTTTGAAGTCGAGTAAAACTAAATTTTAAAAATTTTGCAAACATTTTTACTCAGCAAATTTTTAATACCAGCATGAGAAAATGTTGTTTAATTATTACAGGATCCTCCTACAAATTACTTAACCTCTCTCCTCTGTGAAAAATATCCTTGATTCCAAATGTTTGTTCAGAGCCTTATTTTCCTCTGGTGGGAAAAACTGTCACTCCTTGCTCTACAATGTTCGTAACTTGTTTAAGTTACCTGTAGGGGCTCTCTATTCAAAATATACAGAATTTTACTAGCATTAGCTTTCCATACTCAAAGTTTTCTCCTTCAGCTTTATATTTTTTCTTTCATTTTCACTTTCTAAAGTGTTGTGTTCCCTCATCCCTGTCATTACTGGGGTTTTTTTGGAGGCATTTACATTGCCCTTTTGTCCAACATATTTTTTCCCAACTTTCATCAAAAACTGCTTCTCAATTGCCTCCATGTTTCTCAATGTCTCATTTTCTCATCTGCCTCCTCAGGTTCATTTTCCTTTATTGTCACATCACTTGCAAAGTCACCTGCCTCCAGGCAGTGTATTTCCTCCCCTATTTAATTTTTTTTCCATTTGCACCATCTGTGTGTGTGTACATGTAATGGAAGCACTTCATTTGGTGAGAGTGATATCAAACTGAGTTGACCCCGTTACTGCCCTGAAAGTAAGAATTTTGTTTTCTTATGCTACAGTTTCTTTGTTAATCACACTTCTAGAAGCCATGAGGAAGATCCTTTAATGTCATAGTTAATATTATAAACTTGGGTAACTCCTCATGTGATCCCCTTGAATACTTACATACTCAGCTCCCTACTTATACAGACACAGCAGCAATGTCTGTCTCTGTTTTACAAAACCAGGAATTCTACCTAAGAATTTTAATTATAGGCAGGTCTTTCAAGTTACTTTTTGTCTGGATATTACAAACATTCAAATATCTGTACCTGCAGCTGACTGTCCCATGCAGATGAAAAGGCTGTGACTACCTTAAAAAAAAAAAAGAAATCCCCTCAAAAAACACTCAACCTATTTTTTCAAGTAGACCTTCAGTGTCTACAGAAACAAAAGCAACAGCAGCAAAAGGAGACTATGGGTAGGTGGGGAATTTTCAGCTTGTCAAAAAAGCACTAGAAAAGTTCTGTCATACATGAAACTTGTAATATTTGTCTAAAGCTTTGCTGTGTTCACTCTCTAGGAAAAAACAGGGCTAGAACACAGGTAATCTGCATGGATGGGAATAAAGCCTTTTGTTAAAGAGATGAGGATTTAAAACTTTAACTTCTAAATGTAACTACTAAAAGTGATGTTTTATATAGAAAAAAAAATCTCAGAACCACCAGAAAACACCATTTCCTTTAAAGCAGTTATGTTCAGAATCTCATCTGGAATGCTGTGTGTCATTCTGGTCACTCACCTTTAAAATGGATGAACTCAAAAGAGCAAAATTAGCAAAACAGTCATCAAAATCCTACCTTATAAAAGAGTATTATCCATCAGAAGAAGGGTTGCATGGGGCATGACCTCTAGCTCTTAAGAGTAAATTCTTTATAAAGCAACAAAATCTGCTCTGATACAACAAGAAAATTGGTATAAATTAATCAGGAATAATCCTAGAAGCAATTTTATAAACTGCCTTTACCTGTCTGTAATGCAGGTCTTCATATAATTCTGGGGACAAAACACCTAACTCATTTTAAGGTACAGGTTCACACATTTACAAAAGAGATTATATGACCTGGTTCTTCGTGGTAGCAGGCAAGGAATAAGATTTTCTCCATTCTTGTGTTCCTACAGATCTGGAGCTGTAATAACAGGGAAGGAGGGGGGCTACCTACTCTACAGTACAAGGTTCAGCTGTGCTGCCATTGTTACCACTCATTAATTGGATTTAATTGCTATATGATTCAAGTAGATAGTAAGATTAAATACTATTAATTCCTGTGGAGTCAGGGGAGAATTTCTTTATATCTTGCTGTAAACAAGTTAAAGTGTCAGGAGGCACTGAACACATAGCCCACCTGAATGCGTGACAGATCTACATCTGAAATGTGTAAAACTATCTTTGCAGAATCAGAAAAGAAACTTGGCATTTTTCCAATGATGCAAACACTGTAGTAAAGGTGGGGTGAGGGACAGTTACTTTGTTTATATTTCAGCAGCCACCATTTTCTCCAAGTTCAGTCTTCTACTACATTTGCTTTATCCTGTTATCATTAATTAAAATCAGTAGGAATGGGCCACATTTCGATATTTAATAACTTTTAATCTTCATACCTGGAGGACCTTCTAAGAAATATTTCCACATATTATTAATTTGCTTGGTGAGTATAACCTTCATCCTGCTCAGCAAGCATAATTAGAGATTAATTTGTTGTGTCAGGGATTTAAAATATTTTAGCTCACCTTTAGGCAACAACATATTAAATTATATAGGAGAATGCAAATACCTTCAAAGACAAAGTTTTAAGAAGGGACATTATTTAATGTAAGAATGGAAAATGGCCTGAGCTCCTTGTACTAATTCTTTCGTTTCTATATTGGAATCCAACTTTTGCTCTTGCCTGTACAGTAAAACAGGCAGAAATATGGGATTTTTTTAAGGAGAACACAAAAGGAAAAGGCATATAGGAAATTCTGCCGGCCAATTTTCGAATTTCAGTGAAAGATTATTTAAATGTCACGTTTCATGGAGGAGCCATCGAGAGCTGGTGCTGCATCTCAGCTCCCTGGGTCCAATCCTCCGTGCCTGCGGCTCCCTCGTGTGGAGCATCCCTGTCCATCTGGGCATCAGCACCGCGGATCCTCACCCTGCCAGCAGCGACTGTGAACCTCTCACTGTGCTTGTCATTCCCAGTACCCCTTGCTGTCCCTCTGCCCAGCAATAAGCAGGAAGTTTCTTCTTTTTCTTTATTTCATTTGATAGACATTATATATATGTATATACACACAGTACAATACTTTTCTTTTGTGATAGAGAATAAATGAAAGTTTTCATTGCTGGTTGTTTGTTAAGTCAACAGATTCCAGTTAATAATGAAAAAAATTTAAACGTTTAATATCAAAAGCAACTTCAAGTATCTTCTATACATTTTAGTATTCAGTATATAGGAAGGTGTTTTGGGGCTTTTGTTTTTATATCAAAAAATGTATTTGAATAGACTATTTTTACCCTCATACTTCAGAGTACTATTCATATCAGACATGGAGTTTAAAATTATGTATCTCATGGTCCCAACTAGCTCTTCACAAGAACCATAGGTCACTTATACAATCAGGCATATGTTTCAAAACAGGGTTTAATCATCAGCAAAGTCAAGGTGCAATAATCATGTTTAGAAATTCACTATCTCATTCTGCTAAAACAGATTAAGCTGCAGTCCTTGATGTGAAGCAATATACAGCACCACTGTTTGCAAAACAATACCTGACTTAGGCATAAATAGTACTTCAGTTCCCCGAGCTATTTATCCCTTAACCTTTCTGTAAAAAAATAATTCAACTTAGGCATATATTGCACTAATTTTATCATACTGGATAGCTCTGACCCTGCATTATGTTTTCTTTGCTGAACTAGGATTACACTAGGGTTTTAATTTCCATTGAAAACCTGGGAATAGGGCAACAGACACACATATGGTGTGCAGTAAATGGTTATCTATAATAGCAATAGTAATCTCAGAGGCATTCACAAAGGAAACTACACATTAGACTTGGAGATCATTTTCTCCAGTAGATTCATCATTCTCTCCTGTAACTGTAAGCTTTGAACTTGAATGATGTTCTGCTGATCCAGGATCCTGCGCACTTCTCTACAGGTTTCTTCCATAGCTCTACTCAACTTCTTTTGTTCTTCCAACATGGCTTCCATTAATTTTAGCTTCTTCTTTTGGAAACTGCAGTTTTGCATTTTTCTTTTCTTAACTGGTCTTTCTTCAGCTCTGAAATGTGAATATTTGTTAGAAATTAGAGTCATATTTATAAAAAGAAAGAACCCAAAATTTGATAGCATATTCTTGGCCAAGTTACAACCTAATCATATTTTTAAACCCCTGTGTTCTCCAATAAATTCCCTCTCAAGTTTGTGCCAAAACATAAGTATTTAATGTATTATTGCATAGTGTTACAGATTGTAAAAAAAAAAAAAAAAAAGAGAGAGAGATTTTACATCTCATTGTTTTTAATAAGAATTTTCCATGCAGAATACCAGACTTTTTTTTTTAATCTTGACATGTCTTACACATTGAATTTATACACTGTACTGGGAGAGACATTTGGTTTATATGGCCCATTGAAACTCCAATTTTAAAGCTGCAATAACCATCCCAATCCAGAGAAAGTGCTGCATGGTTATCTGTGGTGGTATCTTACAGCTTGTTTTTTACAGCATTGCATCAGTGAGGCTGGTCCCACTCCAGAATATGAGTCTCAGAATTTACCCTTGTGCCAAGACACAGCAGTGACACTGACCACTCTTTTTTTTTAATATTCCACCACAAAATATTATAACCAACATAAAAGCCTGAAAAGACAGAAAAATACCTGGGGGTTCTGGTTGAGAGTGGCTGACCACGAGCCAGGTGTGCCCAGGTGGCCAAGAAGGCCAATGGCACCTGGCCTGGATCAGCAATACGTGGCCAGCAGGACCAGGGCAGTGACTGCCACCCTGTACTCAGCACTGGTGAGGCCACACCTCCAATCCTGTGTCCATTTTTGGGTCCCTCACAACAAGAAAAACATTGAGGGGCTGGAGCATGTCCAGAGAAGGGCAATGGACATCCTCATCTGAAACATGCAGAGCTGCCATTTGGAATTTGGGGAACATTTTAAGAATTTCCTCTATGCTTTATCATGCTGGGTTTCTGATTTGGAAAAGAGATTATTAACATGGCAATAAAGACAGTGCTCTCAAGGTGTAAAGGTTAAATGGCTGTCCTAACTTGGGGTGACAGAGCCACACAGTCAAAACCAGCCCATGTGGCATGCAAGTGAGAGCACACACACAAAAATCTGTCTCTTAACCTGCAGCCTAAGAAGGAGTCATGCTAAACTGTGAAAGAGGAAGAAAGGCAAGTAGAAAGCATATGTGTAAGTGTATTACATATCTGAGAAACCTCCAGTTAGAGCTGGATAACTCCTTTCCTAACTTTAAGTGAGAGACCATGTCTTCATTTACACTTTTTGTAACTCCACACTGGAGTCCCCAACATCAAAGATATCTGATGATGTGTCTTGAAGTCCCTTGACACAAACAGCAATCTCAGTCTTGTTCTGCCAAATGCAGTATCCTTTCTAGGTGAAATACAATAATGAGATAGTACAGTTGGGACTAGAATGCCATGTCAACATGCTGCAGATTTTAAGACATCCTTGAATAAGGATAACTTGAACTCTTGAAGAATGTGTTTTTATTAATGTGAAGAAGGGTAGTGGGGGTGAGGTCACTCAGCTGTGGCAGATTTGTATCATAATTTGATTCATGTTCTTATCCTACTTGACAGGCTTTGTGCAGCAGCGACTGTGACATTCAGATCTGTCAGCAGGAGAGATAAACAATCCTTAACACCTGAAAGGCTTAATGCAAATATAAGAAAAAGACACAAGCCCCTTGACATTTAAGAGTGCAGTGACCCAAAAAGGTTGAGATACTATCTACATTGGAAGGTATAGAATAAACTCAGCTTTGCAGGTTCTATACAGCATATTTGATTTGGGGCATCAAATAAACATGAACAAACTGTGGGTCTGCTCAAACTGTGGGTCAAGCTTGCTGCTGATCACTGAAATTATCAGTCTCACAATCCTGTGAGAATGGGTCCTGGCTAACACTAAATTCTGATTGTCTCCCTTACCTCTAAGGGTCAGAATTACTTTAATGTGGTTCTCAAAGAGGTCAAGCAAGTGGAAAAGATATACAGCAGTCTAAGGACAGCACTGAATCTGCTATTCCAAGGTTCCCATCACTGTAGTCACATTCACAAAGAATGCATGGTTTCTGGTAGGCAGAGCAAGAAACTTTCTGAAATGGTGATATTATTTTAGCCAAAGTCACCTTTTGAATTTAAACTTGTTTTCACAGAGGATTTAAATGATGGAAACTGGAAGAATCTCTATTATCTTCACCATACAGTGTTAGAAAGTAGCTGCGGTAAGACCTCCTGTCATGAAGCCAGTACAAACTCACTCCACAAGAGGGCTTGTGTGTTGTCAACATAAACACTGGTGAGAATGGTCCTTAACAAGGAATGAGAGAGAAAATCTGAGGCTTGTCAATAGTACTGAGATGCACTGAGCATTGTGTGTATTTCTTGGTAACAGTAGCCACCATTTGGATTTCAATTTCAACTGAGATGACAACAACAAACAAACAAAAAAAACCCATAAAAAACCAAGATGGAGTGATTTAGATTGAAAGATCTAAAATAAGCCTTCTTTTTAAGTAAAAAGAATCTTTGAAGTGTTTTCCTAGAGTCTCTAAAGGATTTTACCTGTTTTCAGTTAAATCCATCAAAGAACTGTAAGACATGAAACCATACATCTAAAACAGTGTCTTGCACAGCTCCAGAAAGAAAGGAGCAGCAAATTTTTACTGTGGCAACAGTATCTGCAGTCTGCTAATAACTCAAAAAGTACTCACTGAAGAATGCTATTTCAGAACTGTGTTTTAGCACACAGAAGTTTCCCCAAAAGCAATGACCCAAGGATTTTTCAAGGTCTCCCAAGTACTCCCTACATTTGTTTACAGTAACAAATACAACTTGGCAATTAGACCTTCATTGAAAAGAAATACTTATTTCAGAAATTTTCAGGAAGCCCTAGCTTTGGTAATGGTCCCAATCTCCTTTTCTCTTCACTGACTGATACTGGAAGGGTTCTATGGTCACTCACAAGTTCACAGTAAGGAACTGGCACTTAGAATCCTCTCCTCTTGCAGAATTGCTGCTGAAAGGGAGCTCTTGAGAAGGGCCCTACAAAAGAAGGCTCTAAAGAATCTAATTTACAAGCTAAGAGCACTTGCAACATGAAACAATGTAAAATGTCCAGTGATGCCCATCCAGTGATGAGTTATTTGAATACTGAAGTGTTTCCTCAGATTCTGAGCCATCTTTCTTGAGAAGTTCTAGGTGTCCTGGGCAACATGTCAGAGGCCCCTCTCTCTCAGTAATTTTTTATAACAAACTCAGGAGAGAAGCAGAGATAGGAATGTGGGTTCAGCACCAAGTAACCCAAGCAGCACCAGTGTCCTAAACAGTTCCTGCTAGGAGCATCTGTCCTTTGCCAATGTATGGGCACAAGAATAAGCAACTACTGATGATGGCTGATCAATCAGTTCCTGATGCCCATTGTCCATGTGCAGCCAACACCTCTGTGACAGCAGGGGTGCAAGCAGATCCTGACAGCATCTACAAGCTGCTGAAGGAGCACCTCCCTCCTTGCCAAGCCCAGTCTCTAAAGGCAGACTTTGAGGGAATTCTCAGGAAAGGAGGGTCTGGGGAAGTAAGGACCTCAAATACAATCTGCTGGCTCTCTTCTGCTGGGCTTCCAGTACCTATGGCAGAGTATACAAGAGATTGGCATTGGTATTCCTCTGACCACATGGACCAAGTGTGGAAGGGCTCTGGCACTGGGACCATATTCCAAACAGAACCTCACAAAGCTATTTCCCTGCTATGCTCTAAAGCAGACAGGCAGGGTTCCAAGGAAGCAAACCAAGGGAAAGAAATTGTTCCATCTCACCTAGGAGACTGAGCAGAAATGACTGTGTGCAATGGACATGAGGGGGAACAAAGCAAAACCTCCAGATACAATCAGGCAACATATTAGGTAAGTCTCAAATATATTTGCTGTCTGTCTACCTAATACCATTTTAATTCATTGTTCAATTAAAATTTCCTTGCTTACACTTATCCAATACAGCTTGTTTCAGGGACATGTGTGAATAATTAATTAAGCAGGAGTTGAATACAAAGAGTTCTCTGTTTATCAAAATGTATTATCTTCACGAAACCCTAACAGCAATTCCTCATTTCTGACTACTTCATGGCAAACAGGTCTCCAGTACCATCAGTTCTTGGAATTTATGGCTTTTAGCACCTAAAAGCTGTTTCTCACTGGTTTGAGTTTTTTAGCTCCATAAAAATCTGAGCAGACCTTCATAATCCATGTCTTTATTTAAAAAATTAACAATGGTCTGGATATAATCAATATTCATATTAGAGATTATATAAAGATTTCAGAGCATAAGGACTGAGGATGAGGCAACCAGGATCTTCTGGTAAACTAAGCTCATTCAATCATTCAAATGCATTCAGGAATTAATGAGACTCATCCTTGAAGTAAAGCACAGAAAAGAACCACAAATGGCTTGGAGCCTGGGCAAAGCACCTCGCTAGGATACAAGTCTGCATAATGAGTTAAGATGCACTACATAATGCACATAGCCTAAAGCTCAAACTTCTTTGTAGATTATGCCCATTCAGATTTAAATAGCCATAGCATAATTTTAGAAATAGTGAAGTCTTTGCCAAAGATGTTGTTTCCCAAATTAGCATCATCACCGAGTTTTAATGCACTTCTTTTAATCCATATCTTGCTTAGTTAAGTTACCAATTCTTACTTTTTTCTTCCTGTGTAAACTTCACGTAGCAAATTAATTAATCTACATTTAAAAATGAAAAAATACCAGACAGTACAATCATGGCACACAACCATGTGTGTGCCATGATTTTGCCAGAAAGCAAAAAAATACTGAAAAGTTCTCCAATATACTGAAAAGAAAGGTAAGGAGAAGTAACATCTGAAAGTTTCATTCACTAAATTCACATTAGGAACAAGGGACTGGTTTAAACAAGAGTTTGCTTATCACTAGAAAGAAGGGAAGAGTGAATTCTCCATCTTCTGTATTTATCAGGTCTAGACCAGACATTTAGTATTTCCCAGAGTGAAACAAATCATAGAAACAATGTGGAGGACAGCAGAGACAGGGGACTCCTGAATGCAGAAGTGCCCTGCTGAGGGAAGGGTGTCACAGAATCCTCCCAATAACATTTCTGGACTCCAGATCAGAATGACCAAATTCAAATGCTATCTAACAAGAAGTCAGACTAGATAACACAAAAGCAAAAAATACTGAAAGGTTCTCCAATATACTGAAAAGAAAGGTAAGGAGAAGTAACATCTGAAAGTTTCATTCACTAAATTCACATTAGGAACAAGGGTCTTTTAACCTATGAAAGGTCTTTTAACCTATGAAAGTAGCTCTTTCACCCCAATTTTCAGTACAATAGAAATGGCAGAACACATGGAGTCTGAACTACATTCACAGCCTGTATAAATATGTTCTGTCATTATTTTACTATGAAAACAAAGACCATAAATTAATCCACAGGGTGAAAAAAACACTGTTTTCAATTAGATAAAAAGTCATTTACAGTGGTGTCAGGAATTTGGATTTTAAAAGTTTAAGCTGCAGTACAAGACTCCACCACATTGCATTATATTTTATGACCATAATAGAATAATTCTATTATTGTCAGATGTTTGTACTGTATAACAGTGTCAGAGCAGTGTTAGAACAATACTAAGCAATTACAGGCACCCCTTTAAAAGGGATTCCAAATGTTTTCCTCATCTACACACTTGAAACAAAAATTCAAGTTAATTTTATCTCACATTAATTGTGTTATCACTAACGAGCAAAATTTGGCTTTTGTAAGAAGGTCCCAAACTCAAAGTTTTTCAAACAGAATGCAGAGAAAACCAGTTTCAACTATTTTTAACTTGACAATATGTATGTACTGATTGAAGTATAAAACTTGACATTTTTTGCTATCATGAAAGCTAAACATTCAATTGAATTTTTTTTAAGCTATAATTTATATAGCCAAGTAGACTCCTGCTATGTTCAAAGATACTGTGAAAAACACAAAGCTGACACTCCAAAGCTGTGTTGGCGAGTTTAAAGGGATAACAGAAAAGTTTTCAGAAGTTTAAAAGTTATTTAGAAAGAACTACTGTTTGAAAGTTTTCTTCTCTATCAATTGTTGCCATAACATTAGGATTTTATTACTGAATAAAAAATCCTGTAACATAAGTTATAAAATATACAGCTGCAAAACACATCTGTATTTTCATATAGGCATGAGTGTGTATTTTTCAAAATAGGAAAATTAAGGACCTAAAACATTCTTTTTATATCAATTCCCAGCATTGTCTTTTATTCTTTTTTTGAATATGTTGGATAAATTGTCTACTGTTCAGAGGCAAGGGTATTGATAAAATAGCCAAGATAGACACAAATTTTTTATGCTAATTCTTTCCTCTCTTGTTGGCTATTTCAAAGTGTTTTTCAAATACAGGATGAGACATTAATTGCTTAAGCTATAAATTGCTTCCTCAGTTCATATTTTTCCATTAGTAACTCTAAAATAATTAACTTCCTTGTCTAACCATGGCAGCTCTAAGTGATTTTAACCCATGTGGTGTCACTAGCAAGCAATGTATTTTCTTCTGGCCAAGAAAGGGTTCCCTACTCTGCTCTCATTCATCAGCCTAAATTAAACAGGTCAAAGCTGGACAAGCTTTTCAAACCCCCTAGGACTATTGGAATAGCTTTTTCTCCTTCCAGACACATTATCACAAGTGGTTTCTAATTTTTAATCCAATCACGATGTTCACCTGTAATATTACCCTGATCTCTCATTGGTATCTACTGCTCAACTTCTCCTTTTCTTTTAAAACAGGGGAACTGTATTTCAACTTGTGACTGCGTAACCATCTTGCTGCTAAATGACATGGACAATATTCTATTGCACAAAATTCTCTCATAGTGGAGACTGTGAGAGCATGGCTGAATTCCTAAGTTGATTTATCAGGTCTAGACCAGACATTTAGTATTTCATGGCTGAATTCCTAAGTTATGGAGGTCCTGCCATCCTGAGAGCTGCCCTGCCCTTCCCTGCAGCTCCCAGACCCGCCTGAGCCACCAGTGCAGCCACTCCTAGCAGGCAACAGCAGCATTGCAAGGGCTGAGTGGCATTCCCTGCCCCAGACTCACAGCCAGCTGAAAGCCAGCCTGTGCCACTAGGGGCTGGATTTAAATGAGATGCAGCTTCTAAATTTAGCCAGAGAAAGTTAAAATATTTTTTACTAGAACAGGTTAGGGTATTTCCTTGGATAAAATTATAGATAAATAAAAAAACCAGTGAACCTGAAGCTGGCTAAAATGCATCACAGCCTAAATTTTCCAGAGCTTATAATTTAGTGACTGATTTAAGTCCATTTTAGCTGTAAATGAAAGCACCTACATGAAAGTGAGAGTCCACCTGCAAACTGTGGGCATAACAGATGTGGGTTTGGGGTTGATTAACTTGATATCTCTGTGAGGAATGTCTATGTTCTGTAGTGAAGCCTGGTGTGGCAAATTCTGTCCTCTTATGGTACAAAATCTGTGCTGCCCTGGAGTTGCCCCTAAGCTGAAAAAACTTAACATCCAATATTTTTTAAAACCCTGATGTTATGAAGTAGTCAAGTGAATAAACTCCACAATGTTTGTGGAAATGTGACCTTCTAATTAAATATTAAATAATATTATTTTAAATCCAATTGGGAATAAAGTTATTGCATCTGAAATGTGAATGTGGAGTTTGCAAATCCTAAAGTCAAGTGAGTTTGTGTATCAGGAATATCAACTACTTAAAATGGACTAGGTTGAAAAGAAAATTGTTGCTTGTGAACAAAAAGGTTGCTATAGTTCAAAAGTTATGCACCCTAGTAAATATTCGTTGCCAAAAAAAAAGTTTTAAGAAATAATCAGTTATTCAAGGACTATCTGCTTGAATGATTGAATGAATTTAACTTAGTTTTATTCATCCAAGAGTGGCTCTGGAAACAATAATTCGAACTTGCTCGGTTGGTTCTTCTTCCAGCTCAACATCTTTACAGTTGCAGGACTGACAGGTAATTTTACTGTTACAGTTAAAGCCTCACACACTCATGATAAGAATCTCTAGGATCAACTTTTTTCCTGCCAGAAAACTGTAATCAGCTCTTATTTCACACCACTCTGGATGAAAAATGAGACCAGTAAAGTCTGAAATTTGTATCAAGAGTACAATCCTGCCTTTTGTTAAAATGCTGCCTTCCAGGGAACTCAAATCATATCCAAAAAAAAAAAAAAGAATCACATGTTTGCATCTCAAACTAGCATTTACTTTGAAAAAAATTACATTCTCAATTGTATTTAAAATAATGCAATGTACTTTCAAACTGCATGAGCAGCTTTTCAGTGTCCACAGAAATATTTATTTTGCATCTTTTCACCATTTTAATAATAACTGAAGCCAGAGAAATTTCATACTCATATCAAAAGCAGAACTAGAGCAAGCCAAAAATCATCTAAGCAGTATGTTATATCTCTGATTGCACCACAGGACTCTCTTGAACATGCCTGTACTCCTTTTATGAACACTCTCCCTGATGTGAGCCGTGACATGCATGCTGAGTTTTGGCAATAATATACAACTTTTTGCCCAGTTCTCCTACTCCCTTCCAGTCTTTCATAAAGGAATAAAGAAAATGCCCTAATTCAGCAAAGTGATTGAGATTGGGGAACAGATCTCATTTGTGATTTACAGAAAAAATACAAGAGCTGTTAGAGAAAAATGTGTGAGGGTGTTCCCTTTACACAGCAAATTTGGTTCATTCTGCAAAGTACTAAAAAGAGGGGAAAATAGATGCTACCTCAGCTTGTAAGAAAGCAAGCTTGATGAGCTCTCTGAATGTTCATCTTCAAAGCATTCTTCCCTTCCTTCATATGTAAACTGGTTATATGGCAAATACAGAGGGGTGGACTTGGCTGATGGAGATTGCGAGGCCTCTGTCTGTGATGTAGAAGGACCTGGCTGCTGATTTTCATGCATTTTCACATCGCTGTGGTCTGTCACTTTGGATAAGATCCTATCAATGGTTTTGTAGTAAGGCCAGTCAGGTGCCACAGTTTCACTGTCAGTCATGCATTTTAATTTCCTGTAAGAAAAGGCACACAACATTAAAGCTTGTTTTGCCACAAAAAGTACTTTTCATACAGATCTATCTCAAAACATTTGTTCTGGTCACATTTAGGAGTCAAACTGAATGCTTTTAAAGAGAAAAAAATTAGACACTTTTCTTCTTTAGCTTCCACTGAAGCCTTTCAGGTTCTTTTCCTAGGTTTGACCTGTTATAAAAAGTTGCATGTAAACCCCAGATGAAATTCAATACAGATAAAGAACATTACAACTTCTAATGGAAACAGGACTGTGTTGGTGGTTGAATAATTTTCTTCCCCTTAAAGAATGCCCAACAAACCAATCTGACAGCAGTCTCTGACAACTGGACTAAGCAACACACCACAGCCTTTACTGAACTGAGGGCAGCCCTGCGCTTTCATGCTTTGAAGAATGAATATTTATTTTCTATAATGAATACAAGTGGCTATAAATATAATGCATATCCTTTTTCTAATATGGCTTAAAAGCCTGAAATGCCTTGGTAAATATCCTTGTAACAACCATGAGATACAGACATCTGTTCATTTGTTACAGATGAAAGTAGAGGAAAGATGAACTAGGGAAAAGTACAGTTTCATTAATTTACCAAAAAAAAAAATCAAAAACCCCTAAAACAGTTAATAATGCATTTAGAAACAGCATGCACAAACACATTACATCACAGTGGACTATCAACCATGACCCTGTTCTTCATGTGTGTCTTATGAGATTTATTATTCGGTCCTCAGACAAGTTCACTGCTATCCCAGTGGTTACCCAGTGTTATTTTATTTTCTTTTATTGATGTAATATACATCTCAAAGAAATTCCACTGCCCAACATGAGTCCCAAACTTTCTTTTCATTTGCCTCTCTCAGTTCAGATCTTGTTACTCTAAATCAAAATGCAGGAAGGGAGTACAACAGGAAAGGCAAGACCAATGACAAATGCCCCATTTTCATAAACCAGATTTCATTCAAATTAACAAAAAGCCGAACCAAATTTGATTCTCACAGCTAGAGGTTTGCATTTGCAGGAGAAAAAAACCAACCAAACAAAGAAAAAACCAAAAAAACACTATTCCTGGACACCTGGCCCACCCTTCTTTTCTTGAAGCCTTTCAGGTTTTCTTTTCTCAGAATCATTCCTGCCCACACCAGTCTTGCAAGGGGTAGAATTAAATAACATGTAAACATGAAAACAATGATGCCAAACTTAAAAGTGAGAACTTGAAGTTCTTCCTTTTAAAATGCTGTCAGCCTAGAGTAAGGGGAAATCCACTAGTGGGAAAAGAAGGCAGTAAGATTTGCTTAGATTTTAAAGCCCTTTAAGGAGTCTTTTCTCCTTGTCCTTGCAAGGTCTGATGAGCTTTTCCAGCTATTTAGAAATGCACATCATAGTCCTGCAAAGCAGAGCCTCACAGCCATCCATACTTTTATGCCCTCTATGCATTCAAAATGTTAATTTCATACATATTTCACAACCTACTGCTGCGATTTCATAGTCAGAGAATATTGAGCACAGCCTACCCATCCAGCACAGACAGAAAATAGCTAAACACAGGCCTGACAACAACTATCAATTAATATTGATTATTTTTAGTTCAATTGTTGAGGCAATTTGCATGAAAAACAGATCAATTATGCCACTATAAGCTAGTAGCCAAGCCTACATGCCATATTTGTTTGCCTGTGTTGAAATTCTCAATGTGTTCAAGCTATGAAGTTTAAAACTGAGCTGCAATTATGCAGTGCATTCACCATCGTCAGGCATCCTCAGGGGTGAGGTAGCAAAAGCCAGGGGTGACCACATCTCAGCTGGGCCACTGCCAAGTCCAGAGGCTGCATTGAGACATCATGGGACATCGTTTGAGCCCTTAGGACTGCAAAGCATTGGTCAAAAAGGGCAGGACAAGCTTAGAGCTGATACTCTGCTGCTGCTCTGGGAACAGGCTTGTACTGAGCCCAGTGTCAGCCAGGAGCCCCGGGTCCCCACGAGCAGAGCTGCTGCCCTGCCAGGCCGTCCCCTCCTGCTCCAGCATTTGGCCATCCCAGGAGGAGGACTTTGCATTTGTCCTTGTTGAATTTGATGGGGTCCCTGTCAGCCCATTTCTCAACCTGTCCCTGAGTGCCAGTCCTGCCCTGCAGGGACTGCTACAGACTGCTGCCCCAGTTTGGCACCATCTGCAAACCAGTGAGCACGCACTCCACCTTTGCCTTTGGAGTGTTGATTTTAAACAGGACACATCCCAGTGCAAAACAGCTGCAGTCCTCCACTGGGAATGAGCTTCTAGGCAGAATACAAACCATTAAAAACCACTCTGTGCCCAGAGATCCAGAGAGTTTTCCAGCCAGCTTGTAGTCCTTCCAGCTGCAGTGTAACATCCCAGCTTGGATAGAAGGATGTTCTTGGAGACTGAGTAAAAAGGGTTTGTACTGTGAGCTAGGCAATACTTTGCCCTACCCTCACCCACAGATCTAGTCTTCTAAAAAAGAAAGCAAGCAGGTCTGTCAGAAGGGATTCAGTGCTGGTAAATCTGTTCTGCCTATTCCCAGTCACCACCTTCTCCTTTCCATGACTGGAAATTGCTTCCAAAACTTCTTGCTCAGTGATCTTCTAAGGAGTTGAAGGGAAGAGCTCTTCATTCCTGTTCCTGCCTTTCTGAAGATTCAACAGCCTTTTTCTGGTCCCTAGAGACCTCCCTCAATCTTCACAAAGTTTCAGAGATGATTCCTGACTCAGTCCTTTCCTACTGCTGGTATTTCTGATAACTCTGCTGCAGGCACATCTGACTGGGCAGTGAAGGCTGAAATACAGACACCAGCTACCCTCAGCCTCATTACTTGCATCTGCTTCCATTAAATCACCCTGTGGTGATTCTGGGGCAACCCAGGTATAACTACAGTCTGGGGGATGAAGGCATTGAAGGCAGTCCCACAGGGAAGGAGCTGGGGATGCCCTCAATGAGAGGCTGGACATGAGCTGGCAATGTGCTTGTAGCCCACAAAGCCAACCATTATCCTGGGCTGCAGCAAAAGCAGCATGGCCAGCAGGTTGAGGGAGGGAATTCTGCTCCTCTGCTCTCCTGGGACCCCACCTAGAGGGCTACAAAAATACTCAGAGCATCTCTGCCACAGAGACAGGCTGAGAGAGACAGGATTGCTCAGTATGGAGAAGAGAAGGCTGTGGGAAGACCTTATTATAGATTCACACTAGATATATGGAAGAAATTTTAACCAGAGTGGTGTGCCACTGAAACAGGTTGCCCTGGGAAGCTGTGGATGCTGCATCCTGGAAGTTTGGATGGGGCTTTGAGCAATCTGGTTTAGTGAAGGTGTCCCTGCCCATGGGAGGGGGTTGGAAAGAGATGGTCTTTAAAGGTCCCTTCCAACCTGAACCATTCTATGATTCCATGGAAAGTTTCCAGGAGTAAATATTTTGCCTGTAGGTTGGTACCTTTTTGTTGGTGTTTGAGCTCAGCTGTGTACCCAGACCCCCTTTTCTTACAGAACTATGACAATTTGGAAGGAAGAGCTGCTGTTTGTTGTCTGCTCACAGAGCTGTAGAGTTACAGTTATATAAATGCAGGTATTTCTCTGGCTCTCAATGCACTGAATGGATACTAATTCTACTTCTGACTGCTTACCATAGCTCTGAGCTAAATAAAAGGGATCACTACCAGGAGGTAGACAAGAGAACTGTGTTAGCTTAAAAGCAGCACCAGCAGCAATCATCTACCTGTATGGAGTCTGGCTCACACACACAGAAAAAAAGGATGAAACAGGGAAAGAGATGAGAAGATAAGGGGAAAGGGAGTGTCAGTCCTTTGGAAGAGGAGGAGAAATGCTGCAGGTGGAGGTAAATAGGGAGAACATTCACTGCAATAGTGTTGATGGTTTAGTTTTCTGGTAAAAACAAACCAAATAGCTACCTTTGTAATACTAATATCGAGTTCTGGGATTTACTGACTTTTAATATTTTTTCTACAACTGCCAGAAGTCCAGGAAACCTAGTTAGACAGCTAAGAGCTTTTGCCTGCATTGAGATAAATGTAAGCCTGGAAAAACTGGAGTCTACAGCAGAGATTAATTTACTGCTCTCAGTCATTAGCATAACTCATCACAGCAACCTTAGCTACATCCAAGAGATAGAACTGGAGTTTTATTTTTTTAATGAAATATGAGGATGTTGAAAGAAACAGGACAATAGGAAGGCTGGAATGCAACAGTCCAGAAATGAGAGAGCAAGATGAGCCAAATATTAACACTTTGCAATTGGGCACTGCCTGAGGGAGCAAGCCATGCAGGAAAAATGAGGTAAGAAACAAAGGTAAGTGAGAAAGTCAGGAGAGCTTGTGAAATAAATTCACACTGAGTTTATCTGGAGCTGTTGCTGTTTCATGAGGCTCTATTAAAATCCAGCTGAGAGCAGAGGCAACTGAGAACTCTCTCCAAAAATTCAGGGATCAAAGTCAGATTTCCAGTGGACAAATATCCAAAGCATGCCAACTGAGTTAATTTGAAAGGTGATTGCTTGTCTTATTCCAGAGAAGTGAATAAATTAATGGACTTTGAGATCCCACTGCCAAAATGCTCCACTGAATAGACTGAGACAACTGTTGAGTCATTTGTGTTGCCATTGACCTTTTTTCAAACTTTATTCTCTGTGCCTATTAATCTACCTTCTTAAAAAAAAAAACTATCACAATATTATATTCTAAAGAGGTTTTGGTTTTTTTGAAAATCATCATTATTTAGTCAACAAAAAGCAAGCAGTCTATAATTTGCTTCATTTTTTTAGACTTTGCTCAAAGCAGAATTGCTTTTTTATTATTATTGCAGCATTTGATATTACTACTTGCCTTAAGGAATGGATACAAGATCCATCTCCTGGGGTTTCTAGGAAAAGCTTTCAAAATAAATAATAAATAGCAACTGCTTTGGAACCAATGAATGGTGAGGAGAAGAAGGATGATGAAAGTACAATACTAAGTTGTGCATCTGCCCTAAATTATTGAAATTAAAGACAAAGATAGTAAAGTATTCAACTTTTTGCAGCAATTTGGCTGCACTCATATTTTATCATTTGCTGTAACAGAGGTCAAATTTGCCAGTTGCATAATGTCATGGAGTATAGCAATGGATTACACAAGCAAAAATGTTTAATTGCTATCATGTACACATGAAAATAAAAAATTACACTACTCTTTCATTCAAATCATGAGACTGATTCAAATTTACCAATCATTAACATTAATTGACTGTGATTCAAATCAAAGAGCAACAGCTGCATCCTGTTTTCTAGGCTTTGGGGAGGGTGATGTTTTTGAAAATAATAAATTTGCATTCACACAGTTCTTATTTTTAAACATCAGAAGGAATCAGTCAAAACTGTGGACCACTGTGCAAGCTGTGCATACCCTGCTTCCTTTTTTTAATAAGTATTGTGGCAGTGGCAATGTTATAACAGCAGTCACAGAGCACTGTGACACAGTGGGATCAGCACATTAGCAGTGACAGGACAGGGCTTTCAGAAGGAATAATTACAGGTTCACATGAGCTGATAGCCCCAAGTAGGCTGCACAACACAAAGAACTGGGCACAGACTCTAAGGGATGCTAAACCTCAAGAGCTGGCACACTAATCTCAGGAAAACTTTTGATGAGCAGCACATGTGAAAGCTTAACTTTGAATTCCAGGAAGCTTGACTCAGCCCTTCCTTCTTCCAGGATGGATAAATGGGGAGGTTCATGCAGCTCACCACACAGGTATCTTTGAAGCAGAACATTAAAAACCTGGTGGCTGATCTATCCACAGCAGATATTTCAGATTTTACAGCAATCCCTAAAAGCAGAACTTTACTCAAATACACCTGCAGAAAGAATTTTTCTTCCACCTATGGCGTTGTGCAGAATTTTCCACCCAGTCAATTTCCACGGTGGATGAAATGGTCCCTTAATATACCGAGACTCCAGTAAGAATTACTTCAGGTCACGGTATATTTTTCCCTGATTAGTTTCCTCCAAATGCACTTGGACTACAGTAATGTAGAGGAATACAGGAATCACTGCCAGCTCAGTCCATTGTCTCACTCTCTTCTGACAAAGGTCAGTGCTGAATACTTCAAGAATGATTTTGACAGACAGCTTTTGAGGGCACATTCACCCATAAAAACACATGATTATTTTTCCATCAACAGCCAGTAACATCCTGAAACCCGCTGTCTTTCATAACTCTACCTAATTGGAAGACAAACAACATCTGTTTTTTTAATTTAATAAATCTAATCTTTAGTAAAAATAATAATAATACTAAAACAACCTGCTGCTCTCTTGGTGTCAATGATTTTCAGAGGCAATTAGTTCCATGTGCTAATTATGCAGTGCAATACAAATTTATATGACTTTAACTAGTTTTGCATTTCTTGCCTTGCAATTCTTGTAAATAATTTCTTGTATTATGGCAAAAAAAAATCTGCTTTACATTCTGAAAAATAGTGCATATTTGTATGCACCTCTGAAACTCCTTTAGCATTCACAAACTTATTTTTTTTACACTTCTCTTAATAAAGAAAGCTTTCCACATCTCAGCCTAACTGTTCTCTAAACATCTTCTCATTCTCTTATCACCTTGCTGAAATATAGGGCAGGCAGAAATAAACACAAGAATTCAAGGAGGAAATAATGAGATAAAATAGATTTCTGTTTGGTATTTTAACACCCTGAATAATGTTTTCACCTCAGATGTGGAGGAATGGGATATAAACATCCTAAAATTGCTTATGTGTGTGATGCTCATGCACACTGAGCTCCACCCGAGGTAACTTTACCTGGCAGCACAAGATCCCACAGGGGATCCAAACACAGCCAGAACCAGGGTGAATACCTGGGGTGGGAGCCCTTTCTGAGCCCCCTGCCACTGTACACACCCATGCAGGCTGCACTTGCTGCAGAAACTGCAATAATTGGCCAAGAAACACTCCTTCCCTACTTATGCATGTGTTTGCCTGACTTAGGCACCTTCTACTCATAATGAATGGCTTGCACTAAGCAGAATAAAGAAAACAATATTTACTGAACTGCCTCTTAGAATGCCATGGGATCCTCCAACTGGAGAGCACCATTATGAACATGTTCTCTGCTTTCTGTTTCAGTACCCTATATGACTCAGATCATCAATATCTATTTCAACAGATGTCCCAGGATAAGACGCACCAGTGACAGCACTTTTAAAACTGAACTTGGTTAAAGACACTACTAGAAATATTCAAGTATTGCTTTTTCCTTTTATGGAAAAAATACACATATATGTATTCATCCATATATGTATGTGTAATAATTTGTAGGACAGGGGTTTTATGTTCCTTTATGAAATTTTGACAATTAGGTAGATAATATGATCTGATTAAATATTTTTATGCAGTTTATTTCTGATAAAGGAAGAGTAGAAGCCACTCCACTTCTGCCGCACTGTTCAGAGTTGCCTAAAGTACAGGATCCTGAAGTGGGTGCAGAAATAAGCTCCTAGGTGCAGAACACCCCTCCTCACTCCTGCTACTGGTACTCCGTTCTCCCAAACCACACTCACTAACCCAATGTAATCTTTACAAAGTATTATCTCAAAACAGAGCATTTCCCACTCTCAGGATCTTCTTTTCCAGTTTGTGCCACAGGGCAGCAATGATGCTCAGAAATGCAGTGATGTAAAGCACCTTCCTCAAGGGTCCTGCAGGCACCCAAACATAAATTAAAACTCAGCTGCCTCACAGCAAAGCCAGCAGTCGGTGGCCATTCACATCATTTACAGTTTCACCACCACCTTCCCTATCCTCACATACCACCAAAAAGTACCCAGAAAACTAGAAATTGTGAGTAACAGCTTCTGCTTGCCCCTGTTCTCCATACCACCTCACCTTGACAGCAAAGCACGCAGGCATGTGAGCAAACAATAAGGAGATGCATTTTATATTCCAGAGCACAAAATGAAACAGCTCTGTGACAGCACAAGGCAGTTTTTAACTCTCCTAAATTAGCATCTCAATCAATAAGCAGGGAGCTGCCATGCACTGCAAAATAGAAAAGCAGATTGACAACATGCAACAGAAGCAATCTTAGAAGTTCACAGAAATAGAAAGATATTTCTTAAAAGTGTGGTTTCTCTCACACACACAGTGCATGCATGCGAGTGATTTTATTTCTTCCCTTCCCCCAGTGCAACTTTAAAGTAAAAACATTAATTAGGGGAAAAAATGAGACTCTCTGATGGATGACAACACTGTAAATTTAGAACAAAGGCTGACAGAAATAACCTATTCCACTTGGCAATTACGGCACTTAACTATGGTGCAGTGTTGCTGCCACAGACACCTGTGAAATCTCAGTGCCATGAGATGCAATTCCCAGCAGGGAGGACTGCAGATTTAGCAGACTAAGCAAAAGCCTGGTAGCCTGCAACTCCTAAATCTGCATCTGAGTGGGAATTGCTGGGTGATGCTGGACAAAAATTTGCCTTACTTCCAGCTTTCTCATCTACAGTCTGGGTGAAGGAAACTGCAGGGATTACAGCAGGGTTGGTAAAACATTTTGGAGACGTTAGGATTTGCCACAAAACATCAGGTTTGATATTATGGCAAATGATGTTAAACATTATGCTTGTGGATCATAGACATGTAGAAGGACATTCAAAGTTAAGGGGTTTACAGGATTTTCCCTAGTTTTCTATTTGATGAGCAGTCTCTGCATTAAATACAGTGAGGGTGCCTTACAGAAAAGCGAGCAGTTTTAACATGGTTGCCTGCTGTAATAACCTTTTTTATTATTAATATCAGCTTTGAGGAGAGATTAAATAAAAGAGTCACATATTTGATTTTCTTGCATTACAAGCACCTAGCTCAAATCACCACTCAGGATTTCCAGTATGAGGCAGTTTGTGCTTCACAGAGATAAGAATTAAAAAAAAAAAAAAGAAAAGAAAGAAGAGAAAAAAAAATGGAAACATTTCTGTTAAGTTCTAATTATTTTTCTCCCTGCAAACAACAAATGCACAAATGCCTCACATTTTCTGAAGCCAACTTCCCCTCCTGACTGCTTGCCTGTTCTTTATCATCCCCTCATAGACACCTCCGCCCTCCCCCCGACTCCTCTGGAGCAGTATTGACGGTGCACATTGATTCTCTCTGCAGATATAATAGTTCTTTCACTGCTGCTGCTTATAATTATAGCAATGTGTGTCACTCAGTAATAAGACATTCAATTATTCTTGGCCCCGTGAAGTGTAACCCTTCAACTCACGAGACCAAAACTGAGGAGCATCAGCCCCCCCCAAACATTATTCTGTTCTAGTTTTCTCCTTTTTTTTCTTTTTTTTTAACTTTGCCTTGCAATTCCGATCCTCAGTGGCCACTTGAAACTGCAGGAGTTTCACTGCAAGGAATTGGCTGCCAAGCTAACACAATCAGTCCCCTCAGCAAAGAGAAAAAAAAAATCTCTTTTCCCCAATAAATACATTTCCATCCCTCTGCATCATAACAGTGCCAGCTAATTTTAAAGAAACAAAGTTGTCCCAGAGTTTGACACGAAATGGGGGGGACAAATTAACAATGACGTAACAGCATTGGCAAGAGAGAATTTTAAAAGCGATATGAACAATCTTTAATCTTTTATCGACAGATTTCCTCTAGGAGACTTCTTTCTGAAAGGCAAAAATCACTGCGCCGTTCCTGCTAAAATCTCTTAAAATAAAAAGAATTAACTGAAGCTTACCTGTACTGGAATGTCATATTTGTAATTTTTATCTTTATTTCCTCTCCGTGGCGAATTTCTCCAGTCATTTCAAAGAGTTTGTTAGCCATTTTCTCATAAACTTTGGCATTCCTTTTAGTTTGTTTCAGCTCATCAAAAAATTCTTCCCAAACCAGCATTAAACCTCTCATTTCTGCATCAGTCCAGTTTCTGGCCCTCCTGTGTTTCTCAGTCTGAGAAGAGACAATGTAACTGGGAATTTCTGCTGCAGCCATTGCTGACTGACCTAAAAGGGTTTTAAAAGAGGACACTTAATATAGATTGAGTTTTTAGTTTAGGTTTTTTGTAGTGCAAGACATGCATATGTGGATAAAGAATTTGAATGACAACAGAACATATGAAACCTTTTTGCAACAGCTTGAAGCTTGAGTGCACAAAATGGGGCCTACATCTGACAGGCAGGAATTTAGTTAAAAGCTTTTAAACAGAGAAACGTCATTTTGATGTCACGTTTCCATAGCAACAGAGCAACTGCATAAGCTACAACAACAAAAACCTTTTAACTGAAAGCCAAAGAATCAGGACAAAGTTGACAGGCCATCAATATTAAAGCTTTTAAACACTTTAGGTTTAACAAAAAAAAAAAGATCTATGCAGCCTTTGAGAAGCTACTTTTAAGTTTCTACTTCTTTTTTAGCTTTCCCTTACCTTTTAGGCAGACAATCTGCTAGCAGGGGGTCATGGTCGCCTGAACGAGCTTTTAAGTTGTGCCTTGACAGACTCTCTAGGAGGTTGCAAGGACTGAGGCCATGTACACAAAAAAAAAAAAAAAAAAAAAAAGCTTTTTTTTTTGCAAAGATATTCTGCAAAAAGAATCAGCCAGCTTTATGAAAACTATACATCTCTAAGCTAATAAATGTTTAAGCAGGCAGGCTCATTAAAACGAGCCTGCATCTGGGCTTTAGTACATGCAAAAAATAGTATTTAAGTGTTTATATAGAGAGAAATATATACAAAATTTCAATATAAAGCCACTTTTTTTTTCCCCGAGATGTTTTGCTGCTGATAAGCACACACTGCAGTCCTGTCAGTATGAATTTGCCTTTGTAGGTATGTATTACTGTATGTGTATTTTGTATTCCTAGTAATTTAGATGCTATTTATGCAGCCTGTGTTCTGCCTTAGGACTGCAGCAGAAGCATTTCACCTGCTTTATGGGCAACCTAAAAGGATTATTCAACGAGTTAAAAAAAGGCTGTGAGATGCTTAGAACTGTGAATAAATTGCTTTGCTGTAAAACAAGCATTTTGAGCTGGTTTTTATATAGGGCTAAATTGTGCCAGCAGTTCTATCAGAGAAGCAGGGCATATTCATTGTATTAAACACTGCAATAGAAGCAGTGGGCCAAATCCTGCCCCACTTACACTCCTGCAGCCTGACAATAATCTTCCACAAAAGAGTGAGATGCAGGAACTGCATTAATTCCAGCTTACGACCAGCTAAATAGAGAGATGTTCATTTCCTACAGTCCCAATAGAATTGTGTTACATAAAATATAAATAAATAATCCACGGACCTTTCTTATTATTATTTTTGTGTTTCAGCATAGAACAGCAGTAACGACCTGGCTGCAGGGCATTTCCTGAAGATTAATGGCAGGCAGGGGTTAATGGCCTGAGGCTCACCCAGTCAGTCGTTAATCCCCAGGAAATGTTCCGTGCCTCAATCCTTAATGCTTAAGTATCCTATAAATTGTAAGTCTTCTCATAACCACATCCTTGATCTTAACAATAGTTAAAAAATGCAGAGCTTGGTTTGCATCCTGGAGATGGCAAAGAGAGCACATAATGTTCCTGAAAGGTACACTAGTGACATTTGTGGGACCATTGCCTTCTTTCTATTTTATTTATTCTACTGCATATTACAAAAGGCACAACAGCATACCACAGAACAAGGTGGGGGTATGAGGGGGTAGAATTACATGTACTTTACATAGGAACTTCCACTGATCCAACCCTGAACATGTCTCTGTCAGAAATATACCTGCTGAGTCACTGCCTTCCTAAGGGAAAAAAATAAAAAGGAGAGAAATAAAGAAAAAATCCCCTAGCTTCCAAATAACTGCTTTTAACTACTAATATGACAGCCTAGCAACTATTACCTTTAAAAATGTGTAAATAGCAGCATATGTTGTGATGATGATCTTGCATGGTTTGTCTCTTGGGTGGCCAGCTGGGAGACGTCACATGATCAGGGGACAGATGGTGGTCAGAAGAGGATCAGCTGATGACACATTCATTTTATTAATTTATTGTTTTGTTTTGAAATTCCTGTCACTTAACCTTGGGCTTCAGGCAGCTCTTTCCATAAAACCATACCAGCCTCGGCTGCCTGTGGTCACAGCCAGTGGCTGGGCATCACCAGGACAAGTTTAAGGAAGCAGTGCAGAGTCCAGGAGGAAAACACCATGGCTGTGGGTCTGATTTGGAGCTAACACACACTGCTGTAAAGCCAGGCTTGCTTTTCAACCTTTAATCATCCATTAGAGGTTTGTTTTTCTCCCTCAGACTTTAAACCACCTCTGTTGTGAAAATGCCGATTAACACCGCTGAAACCCATAGCATGATACACACAACTTGTCAAACCCAAAGATATGTGTGGTCTCTGCTTTAAGGATATTTTTAATCCAGTTTCAAGTACAACAGCAAGGACAGGGTGGGTGAAAACCTTTCCAGCTGCACCAAGTTTTTCTGTCATAGTCCACAAGTTTTCCTTCCCCTCTCCATCCACATGTGCCTGGCATATGTGCAGCTGCTCCTTGTGCTCCACACTGGCCCCCAGACCCCAGGATCCTGCAGAAGGGGGGCGATTGTTTCCCTGCGAAATTCACATCTCAACTTTTCTATATGCTGTTTTCTATTAGGGTACTTGACAGATTGATATAGCAGTATAGTGCTATTTAACATCTGTTAAATAAAATAAATGCTTTCTAATAATACCTCCCTTATTCCCCTCCTCTCAGCACCTGAAGGGATCTGAGTTTCAAGGACTCAGGTTCTACCCCCTCCTCTGAAAAAGTTGTTGATAATAATTATGGAGACCCCACACTGCCTCCTCTGCCTTGCCAAAGCCCATGTGCCATGTGGTTGACAAAGTGACTAATTTCCTACGTGGGTCTGAAAGCGAGAGAAGTTTTTTTATCCCCAAATAATTCTTGCAGTCTTTGCCAGAGCCAGGGGAGGGGAAATACACCTCTCCAGGCTGACTCTGCTAGTGTTCTGCAGATCTGTGTAGTCCCTAGGCATCACTAAGCCTTTGTCCTGGTCCCTGAGTTGGGACAAACAGCTAAGACAGGACCAGCAAATCCTTTAGGGGAAGAGCAGCTCTGTCAGGAAGAGCAGTCCCTGCCCAGGGTGAGGTCACTGGGAGGGGAAGCTCTATTAGCATTCAGCTGCTTCTTGCCCCTCTCCAGTTAGAGGCCGGTCAAGATTTGTCATCTGCCTCAAAGACTGGCTGGTCATAAACCCAGAATAACTGCTGACATGGCAAGCTGCAGCTCTGCCAGGCTGAACACCTGACACCCCTCCTGCATTCTCCTCTAACACCTGATGGCAGAGTCCTCCAGCACCAGCTTCCTCCACACTGAGGACCAGCCTGGCACCAAGCACTGCAAGCAACTGCCGCTGCAACTGCTCTCATCAATAAAATAAGGATATTAAAACTTGGAAACCATTGATATACAAAACTGAGCTACTGAGTACACCTTTGTACATGACTTTCCTCTGTAGGGGAAGGCCGTTCTCCTCCACTCTCCTGCTCACCCAGGTCCCTCCTCTGATGGGCAGTGACAAGTTCAGAAGATATACTTGTGAACACCTCACTGTGCTGGAGTATCTTACATGCGCCTTTCCTTTCAATGCACACCAGCTCAGAGGAACATGAATTTAATGATCCTCTTGCAAATCTGTTCTTCATATCCTCTGCCTAAACACCCTACCTTTTTTGCAATCATTATATATCAGCTTGAATAATAGCTCTCACAGCTGTTCCACTTTTCATGGTGATCTCTAAAGATAACAAACCTCAAACAGGGTAGAAGGGCTTATAATTTGCAGCTGTGGATCTAATGAAGTTCCCCTATAAATGCTGCTCTCACAGAGTTTAGACAACTCCATTAATCCTTACATATCTGTTGACTAAACCTCAGGTGATCTGTGCTAACCGACTGTGTATACAGCCTTCAGCTTTGCAAGGGTGGGCTAATGCATGCCAAATAAAACTTCCTTCAGCCAAGTTCTAGGGAATGGTGTTTTCCCCCGTGCCTGCAGGGGAATAACGGCTCCAGTCACTCAAACACCAGAGCCCAGCCCACAAACTGAGCCATTACACCGGGATTACAGCAGAGCATGTCCAGTCCTGCTCATGGGGACTGTGGGAGAAGTCAGGCAGAAATTTCTGAGCAAATCAGAATGTATTTCTTGATTTATTTATAAAACACAAGAGATTTCTCCAACTTCTCCTAAATGTATTTCTGTGTCTGAAATCCCCATGGGAGCTGTCTACAGGGATGCTGACACACAGGTCACTGCCTATAGGGATTTTTAGAAATGGAAGAACACTAGCTTTGGTTCAGGAGAGAGGAGACTCTTGATGCCAATTGGCAACAAACACCAGTGACACCAGGAGTTTCCTGCTGAAGGAGCATCACCCCTCAAAGATACAGGTCAAACTCTACAACACATGGGTACCTCAGTAGACTTTTTTGCAATGTCTTGCTTACATTAAAAAAGAAAAAAAAAATTAAAAAAAAAGCCACCCACCAATAAACCAAAGCTGCTTTCACCCTTTGTGTTTGTGGCAAGCTGTTAAAAGCAAGGTTGTCCAAAGCACAGGCTGGTCACTGCTCTTTGCAATCCTCTGGTCTGGCCCATCAGGAGCTTAACACTTGTGGGTAATAACAAATCTTGGAACTGGATAGTGACTGCAGAGCACGTGTTCATTCTCTGGGAATTTCAGTGCAGACACACCTTGATAACTCTGCTTAAAAGGGTGCAGGACTGTGTACGTGTTTGTCTAAAAGCATTTGGAGTTTGCATTTTTGCAAACCATTTGCAGGAGGATACTATTTTGTAAGTTCAAAAAGGTTGCATGTGTTGGGAGGCTGCCTCCTGCCCCACATTTTGCTATCCACTGGGCTAGAAGGCCCACTTTCTAAAGTCTTATAAAGAATTATGAGGTTTGTATCTCTGACTGCTGCCTACTGCAATTTGCAAAGATGATTAAATGCAATGCCAGTACAGACAGGCTGGGGAATGAGACAGTGGAGAGCAGCAACTGTGAAAAGGGACCTGGGAGTCCTGGTCAATGGCAAAAGCTGAATATGAGCCAACAGTGGCCAATCAGACAGGAGGGACATCCATGTCCTGGGGTGCATCCTTGTGGATCC